GGTAAGATCTCCAGAAACCCGCGGGCTTGACGGGAACCTAGGGACAGGAGTCCTCCCCACCTTCCCAGTGATTCGGTTTCCCGACGATTCCCTTCTCGACTGCGCAATCCGTTCCACCATCCGACGGTGGAGTGTCTCCCGTTTCCTATGCTCCTGAATCTTGAACGGATTTGGTGTCGCATCTCCTGATCCAAGATCTATTAACGGCAGTGGCGTATCTGGCACCGCCGGTTCATCTTCGTCGTCGACAAATCTGTACCCGTTGACGTTTGGCGTCTCATCTCCCCCAGCCAGGAGGCTGTCCGTCTGGAATATCTCCCGCACATCTCCGTTGACGGCATCTCGGATAGCCGAGAGAGTGGGCGACGACGGCCTTGGTGGTATTATCGGAAGAGGCACCCTCGTATTTTCGTATACAATCGTCTTGCTCGACGCTGCCTGCGCCCGCCGCTCCGGGATTTTGTAGTCATCGTCCACGCCATCGGGGGGGAACATCAGAGCGTTCTTGGGGTGAGCGTTCCAGCTGTCGGGGCGCGCAGGCCTGCTATCCCTATCCACAATTTCCTCCTTGCCCTCTTTGAGCAGCCGGTCGTTGATCTCCCTTTGCTTCAGCATCTGCTTCGAAGGAAGCTTGTTCCCGTTCCATACCCAGCTCGTCTTCTCTATATGCTTCTGGTTTTGCTTGTCGACCAGCCGGTAGAAACTCTCATTGTCCTCGCTCGTGTAGGTGGCCTGAAACTTCCCTAGGCTGACGTTGATATCGATCTCCGACTTCTGATCGACGACGGATCCTGCGACGGAAGCTGGAGTCGCACCTCCATAGACGGAAGGAGTACGTCCGCCTACAACCGTAGAAGCGGAAGGTGTGGCCGGTTGGGTTGCGCGACGGGCGGGAGTCAGCGCTTCCCGCAGTCGCTGATCGGCGCGGCCGATCCACGCGCGATCCTTCGAGTCGAGCGCATCGAGGTATTCGTGCTGGGCCTCGGTCTCCTGTAGACCGGGAAAGAAGTCGCGGGCGATGATCCTCGATAGAGCTTCGGTGTACGAATCCTCATCGATCACCTTCCTCGGTCGCTTGATGCGCTTGGCTTGTGGAGGTGGGGGCATCAGATCTGTATCCGTGCGCTTGCGGATGAGCGCAGTTGACGCGGACGCCGGAGAGCCCATCGTTGCGGAGCTTCATTCGCAAGCTTTGGTTTCGGAATGTGATGGCTGTTCGGGGGGATACCAGGGATGCGGCGACGTGAATCGATTCAGCTGAGCACGATGAGGGCGAGAGAGGGTGATGGGGGCGATAAAGTTTGGAGGCCCCACCATGAGATGAGAGCAATGTACATGTCGTCAGGTGCAAGCTGAGTGTTGTGGTTAATCATCGGCTATGTTATCCGTGGCGAGGTACTTCGATGGCTCACGCATTTACACCAACTGAAAGGTACCTTTCCGCCATCCTGGTCGAGTCGCCTCTTGAGGCGCCAGAGACAATGACATGGAGTACGATAGGCACCTCGCCTGTCGGGTGTCAGCCGCAACTATGAAGGGCGGCAACGGTCCGCTGCGCTCGGTCCCCACTCTCTCTTCAAACTTCGCCCGCTCTCCGATTTTTGGCGCTTGACACTTCTCCAAACGAGGAAGATATCTTTCGCGAATTAACTCGAACCTTTACATAGTCTGGCTATTATTTGAGCCTACCGTATCACGCAGACCTGTATAAGTCAACACTGAGCCCGCTCTATCCCCCGCATCTCGCACTACATCTAGACAAAAATCTACGACATGTCCACCCCCGAAGACCAGGCGATAGCCTTCAAGAATGATGGAAACAAGGCCTTTGCCTCCCATGACTGGCCGAAAGCTATCGAACTCTACACGAAGGCCATAGAGCTAAACGACAAGGAACCGACCTTCTTCTCCAACCGAGCCCAGGTACAGCCCGGCCGCGGCCTCGTTCCCCCGCGACCCCTCCCTACCCCACGTGCCCACCGATACTGACGATGGCTTCCTTATTCTTCGACTAGGCACACATAAAGTCGGAATCCTACGGGTACGCGATAGCCGATGCCTCGAAAGCCATCGACCTCAACCCCAAGTTCGTCAAGGTTCGTCGTCCCCTTGCCCCGCACCGGGCCCCTCCTCCGCAGAGCCCACCGCCTATCTAACGCCGTGTCGCCACCCAGGCCTTCTACCGGAGAGGTCTCGCCTACGCCGCCATTCTCCGGCCCAAGGACGCCCAGAAGGACTTCAAGGAGTGCGTGAAGCTAGATCCGGGTAACAAGGATGCCAAGTTGAAGCTCTCGGAATGCCAAAAGATCGTGCGGCAGCTCAACTTCTTCGCCGCCATCGAGATTGGCGATGAGCCCTCAGCGGCGGAGGGCCTCGACCTCGACTCCATGGCGGTAGAAGACAGCTACGACGGAGTGCGACTGGGGAAGGAGATGACGCAGGAGTTTATCGACGACATGACGGAGAGGTTTAAGAAGGGGAAGTTAATCCACAAGAAATATGTCTACCAGATTGTCATCGCCCTGAAGAAGCTCGTCTACGACGAGCCGACGATGGTGGAGGTGGACATCCCTGACGACGTCAAGTTCACGGTCTGCGGTGATACCCATGGTATGTCCCGACCCGAGTACCGGTACCGGTATGGTTTCCCGACTCAGGTTTACGTGCTAACGCCGCTTCTCAGGTCAATATTTCGATCTTATGGAGCTATTCCGGAGGAATGGCGCGCCCAGCGATAAGCACTATTACCTCTTCAACGGCGACTTTGTCGATCGAGGGTCGTGGTCCACAGAAATTGCGCTCCTCCTATACGCGTACAAGTGGCTTCGTCCCAAGTCCTTCTTCCTCAACCGTGGAAATCATGAGACGGACGACATGAACCGCGTGTACGGTTTCGAGGGCGAATGCAAGGCGAAGTATAATGAGAGGTACATTTGTTCCCTACATCTCCTTACATCCAATGACACTCCCTACCCACTTGTTTCTTCATATTCTGAATGCTAACCCCCCGCGTTCTAGGGTCTTCAAACTCTTCTCGGAGAGTTTCTCTGCTCTGCCCCTCGCCACGCTGATCGGGCACAAGTACCTCGTCCTCCACGGTGGCCTGTTCTCGGACGACACCGTCACGCTAGACGACATCCGGAAGTTGAATAGGCATAACCAGCGGCAGCCCGGCCAGGCTGGGTTGATGATGGAGATGCTGTGGACCGACCCGCAAGAGGAACCGGGGAGGGGACCCAGCAAGAGGGGTGTCGGTCTTCAGTTTGGGCCCGACATTACGAAGAGGTTCTGCGAGAAGAACGGTCTTGAGGCGGTCATCAGGAGCCACGAGGTGCGCATGGACGGGTATGAGGTGCAGCACGATGGCAGGTGCATAACAGGTAAGTCTAGTGACTCAACGACGCCAACGTCTCTCCTCGGGTTGTCTCTAACATGTCACATCAGTATTCTCGGCACCTAGGTATTGCGATTCGACGGAGAACAAGGGTGCTTACATCAACATCTGGTCGGACTACAAGCTCAAGTATGAGCAGTTCGAGGCGGTTCCTCACCCGGATATTAAGCCTATGGTATGTCCTCCACTCTAGATCGACCCCCTTACTCAGGCTAACACAACCCAGGCGTATGCGCAGAGTTCCCTCATGTCGTCGCTCATGTAGAGCAGCAAATGAGAGTTGAGAAAATGAGGGTGCGGCTCAGATAGGGGATTTCTGGCTATTTTGCGTGCTAGACTGTTCGTATAAAGAGCAGAGAAGGAGGAAAGAAAAGTATCTGCATTGTGTCAACGCATGTCCGGGCGTTACGAGAGTTTGCGGATGGATTCGGGGGCGGGCTTTACATATACATCATACCCACAAATGATTTAGAAGAAAACGCCTCAAGAAGAGATTTCGCTCTTGACAAAAAAAGAAATCATAGCACGCGAGGTGCGCGCTGCCCAAACCGTAGAAGGAATTTCCCTTTCTGAGGAAGGATTGTCGTCTTTCAAGATGTCCATAGATCCTCTTGTCCGTCCCCGCCAACCAAACACCCCAACCAGTCTGAGCATCCCAGGAGCCTAAGCACGACGTCAACCCCGCCGTCCTTTGTGCCCCCCCACGCCGTCACCGCCGCCGCGAAGGCGGACAGGTCGTCGCTAGGAACGCGCACCCAACAACGGTTCCCCTGGACGCTCAGGACGTCGATGGGGACGCCGGCGCCCGTGTCGCCCAGGAAGCGAGTGAGGGCGGCGACGCAGTAGGAGTGGGCCTGGAGGGTGTCTAGGGTTGGGAATGGGGGCGCAGAGGGGGAAAGGAGCTCGAGGTGGGCGTAGGATGATTGGGGCCGCAGAGGGAGGGAGCGGATTTCGGTTGACTTTGCGGATTTTTGCTTGGGGGGATTTAGGGTAGCCATATCCGGTGTTACTTTGTGTGCTCGAAGAGCTGTGGGTAGGATGAGTATAGGTCGGGATTTGGAGGTTGGAGACTGACGGCTGAAGATGGAAGACCGAAAGATGGACGGCTGAAGATTGAGGCTTGAATTGGGAGCGGGCGAGTCAGTTGAGATGTGATGTCAGGCAAGGTGAGGTGAGTGTTCTTGGATATTCTTAGCTCGGTGGTTGTCTTGCCCCACTACCAACGCAGGGGACTGAGAATATCAATGTACATATGAACTGGACGCCAGCCCACTAAACTTGAAATGTTCCAGAATACTGGATGGAAGCACTCTTCTGAAACCCACAACACTCACTTAGACTAGGTTCAACACACAGTGCTGCCAACGTCCGGACGTTCATCCACACGGTTAGAGACTCAGGACTAGGTAAAACGCTGGCACCCCGTTCCATATATCTTGCAGTGCTTGAGAACGGTGATTGTCAATAAATTTTGAAAGTTGTAAGTTGTAGTTGTTGTTGCGGGCTGCCAGGTTGGGTTAACCCAGGCTTTGGACTGGGAGTCAAAGTACCCGTGACGGGCCTTGCGGCGGTCTATAATGGTGTCTTGATGTAACTGGTACATATCGCCCTTATAGCTCAGTGGTAGAGCGCGTCACTAGTAATGACGAGGTCGTAGGTTCGACTCCTACTGAGGGCAGTCATTTCTTTTTGCCTTTTTGCTGTATACCCTCCCCAATACTGCTGACTCATCAACCTAGTCTTCTCTGGTGCTTGGTGAGTCAGCACGTGTCGACCATAGGAGGTGGGCATATCAACTCCAACCTCGCATCTCAGTGTCGACAAGCCAAACAACTAATCCGCAAGACACTTCACCATGTCCTTCGCACCCACGCAGCAGCGCTACCTCCGCGCCTGCATGGTATGCTCCATTATCCAAACTTATAGCGTATGCATTTGGCTCCATTCCGCCATTCCCCTTCTCCTCACCCCCTTTCGACCAAAACCCATGATAGGAGCTGACAGGAGGACTCGCAGCGGTTCCGCGACGAAGGATGCCCCAACTGCGATGACTTCCTCCACCTCACCCACTCCCCCGAGCAGATAGAGGCCTGTACCTCCCAGGTCTTCGAGGGCGTCATCACGCTGGCGAACCCTAGCCGGAGCTGGGTGGCGAAGTGGCAGCGGCTGGACGGCTACGTGCCCGGCCTGTACGCCATCAAGGTCGCGGGCCAGTTGTCGGACGAGATCAGGCAGGTCCTTGAGGACGAGTACAGGATACAATACATTCCGTGAGTTTTCCCCCAGCGCGAAAGGGTGGAGGAGGCATTACTAACAGAGTCATAGCCGAGATGGGAGCGCCACGGAGGCCGATGCTTGAATTTACGGGGCCGGGAACGCAGAACAAGAGCACGGGATGTTTTAGGAGGGCGATCGCCGGATGGATGCGTTGCTAGGCGTTGGGTCAAAAAGAGCGCCGCGGGGAACCTTCAATTTTTTCCATTGTCATCAGGGTATCATAACGGCGTAACTGGGGGAATTCTAAACAATGTACAAATACAGCGCGGGGTTGCCTTTTTGGTCTCTTCCCCTTTCTTTCGTCTCTTAGCACCCCCCTCACGACCCGTTGAACCTCTGCTTCTTCGCCGGACCTCCGAAGCCGGACGACTCCCTCCCTCGTTTCCTCTCCATCTCCTCCTTCATAATGCGCTCCGCCTCGCTCATCTTCTTCGGCTGCTCGGACACGGAAACCTTGGACTTGCTCTTCTTCGCCTGCGCAAAGACATTCTTCGTCGTCGGCGCTTTCGTCCCCATCTTCATAGCGAACCCGCCTAGACCCCCAACCTTCGCACCGGGCTTGGCGGGCGCCTCCTCGGTCTTGTCCTTGGCCTCGGCTATCGCTGAGCCATCCTCCGGCTTAGTATCTTGCGGCGACCCAGTTGTCGCTATCGCTGTAGGTTCCGTCTTGGTCCCGAACGACAGTTTGATCTTCTCCCCTTCCTCCCTCTTCAACTCCCGATCCCCTTCCTCCTCTTCCCTCTTCCCCCCGGCCGCCTGTGCTCGCTTGATCTGCTCGTTCAATAGCCTCCGCTCGACCTCCTCGTCACCCTGGTCCTGCAGCGCCTTCCTCCTCAGAGCCTCCTGCCGCCTCAGCGCCTCTGGCGAGTCATCTATCCACCCAATCATCAGCCCCTTCTCGGTCTCCTCGACCCGGCATATCCCTTCTTTCCCCAGGTACTTGGCAAATTCGCTTAGAGAACTCCATTTCGTCGCGTTCATGTGGATGTGGTCTTTCTTCGCAATGTATCTACAGCCGATCTGGTTAGCATCACATCATCTGGCCGTTAGGAAGCCCGGTTAGGGGAGGCTAGGGGACACAAGAAAACTCACTCTTGGTAGAAATGATTCGCGACGACTTGCTTCTCGCCGTGCGCCGTCTTCAACAGCCCAATGAAGTCCTTATAAAACTGATCGCTGTAATCTTGGATAAACGCTTTCGAATTCTCGCCCACGATGACCATGTTCCGAACATGCGACTCCGACATGCAGTGCATCCTAAACCAGGGTTAGTATCTGAGCGGTTGGGTGGCAAAAATTGGGCGGGGTGGAAGAAGGCAACGTACTTGAAAGCGTTCGCGTCGCGGCATGCCTTCTCGCATACTTGGCAGTACCATCGTAGCCGGGTGAGGCCCTTGCTCTTCAGCTGGTTGGATATCGCCTTGGTGGATCCTGCCTCTGCGCGCCCCATCTTGTCGGTTGGGGAGGGAGTTGGTCCGAGGATGTGGGGTGAAGGAAAAGTGCTTTCGGAAAAGAGCAGGCGTTGGAGTGCTCGTCAGGCTAGAATTTACACCTAGGTATCGTGGAGGCGTTCACGTGATGGCTTCTTCATACGTAGTTTCCTATTTCTCTCTTGGGCGGAAGGACTATCGTCCGGAAGTGTTGGCGTGGGTGGGATGTCTGGATTGTCGGCTAAGTTCACCATGTCACTCGACGAAAGCAGTGGAGTTTAATGTCCATGGCTTTTGATTGCTGACTAAACACCTGTTACTACTGTTGACCACAAGAACTCCACTCAGCTGCACCGCCAAACGCCCTCTATCAATCACTCCCCTGGAGAGTCAAGGAAAATAAATGTAGATGATGAAACTAAAGGCGATGGAGCCGTGGTTAGTTGTCCACGCCATACTATCCTTCCTCTTTGACATCCCTGGCCCTACTGTACCCGCCCTACTCAATAACTTCTCCCATCTCTGCCAAACCCTGCTCCTCAAGAATTTTGGCCTGCGCATCGATTGTCTTCTCTAGGTCCGCGATAGTCCTGGCCTGGAGATCCGATCTCTCCCCGACCACCTTTTCGAGATCCGTAATCCTGCAAGTCAGTGCGGCGATAGTAGCTTGGGCGTCAAAGGCCTCCTTGAGCTTCTTTTCGAGACCCGAAATCGTGCATGTGAGTGACGAGACGGCCGCCGCCATGGTCGCAGAGACCTCGGCTCGCTCCTCGACCGTCCTTTCGATATCCGTGAGTTTACGAGAAAGAGTGGATATAATGGCCCCGGCATCTTCCCGCTCTCCACCCGTCTTCTCGAGATCTTCGATCCTGCGGGCAAGCTCAACAAGAGTAGCCGGAACGTCTATCAGTATCATCGGATGTTCCTGGACAACCACCACGGCCGACGGTACCTGGTGTTTGCCTGCTTCCGTCCTACGGGCTTCCAACATGTGAGTTTCCGATATACGCGCTTCCGACAAACGTCCTGCGGGGCCCCCTCTGACTTCTAGCGAAGGCTGGAGAGCAACCCCCGAACCGCTGGTAACGGAAGGACTATCGGCGGTGGACGCTAAAGCAATCATCTCTTCCAGAGATTGAGGCTCGGTAGACGGTATGGCCACGTTGAACCCGTCTGAAGACATATCTTTCGTACCTTCGCTTTGTTGCGGCCGCACCAAGGTCCCATCCAGGTTTTTGCACCCTTTTCTGATCTCGTCCGACCGCCGGTAAAGCATTTCTGTAATACGGCGACGCTTAGAGTGGGGCGAAAGCCCGTCAGACTCAGGGGCCGTATGCTTCGATGTAGACCCCACTTTGCAGACAGGGTCGGACGCTTTCTTCTGTCCTACGCCCGGGCTGCAGGTGCTCGGCGGCGGCGGCGGAGTAAGGCGGCCCGGCTCATAACTCCGCCTGGCAGCTGGTAGAAGATTCCGTTGATTCCGGGATGCCCTTTCACCCTTCGCGCTGGGGGTAGGCGGACGGTTGGGACGAGGCAGCTTCCTCGTATCGATCCGTGTCGGGGGGGCTCTGCCTGGGCTCGGCGACCGTTTTGTTTCGCTCCCCCAAGTTGGGCACAGGCGTGAACTCAATTGACTCGAGGAAAGGCTCGAGGGCACCTTGAATGTGGCGGCCGGCAAAACTGCCATGACGGGCCAGTTCAGCTCCTTCGAATGTATCAGTCTCACCCCATCCCTACGCCTCACGGCGTTCCATGACTCCCGTGCTTGGCGGGAGTACACGTCTGCGGCCTGCGGATGGTAGAGGTGTGGAGCCGAATCCTTGCCAATGGCTGGGCGGGAGCGCCACTGGTCCACAAGCCGAGCTAGGAAAGTCTCCGGACCCTCTTCCTCGTGCCGTCGATGGTAGGCCCCACGCGCAGACACATAGTGCGACGTGACATCCCGTAGCTCTTGAGGTCTGGTCGATTTCGATGGGAAGTCGTCACAGATGTAATCCCAAAATCCGGGCGCCGGCTCCAGTATGCGGTGGTGCCAGAGGAGGCGGAACAAGACAACCAGGTTATGGTAGACTCGAGCCCGTGTGTCTTTCGCCTCCAAATGCTTTTCGGTGATGGCGCGTTGGTGGAGAAAGTTCATTGACTTCTCCGCAGTTTTCAAAGGAAAGGTTGTCGATGAGAATCCCCTAAAGACAAAGTCTTCCACTGTTACAAGTGTATTTGAAACCATGTCGACCATGCCGGAGCTCCCTTGAGATCCTATCTGCAGTGCCAGGATGCAATCGAACAAGAGTTATGGGGGAGAGAGGGGACGGTATGTTCTTTACTGTGCTACAGAATTCCAGGGAAGAATCTATTACAAAACGTGACTCAATGGAATCAGAAATATACCTACCTGCTCAGCTACAGCTATGGAAAGAACTACTCAGATATCATTTGGCCAGGAAAGAACTCCTGACACGCTCCTTCTCGGTATAGTAGCCCGTCAAGTCGCGCTTGTATCGCGATATCACGTGGAAATTTAAGCTACATTAGGTAATCAAGTTAGGCTTCATGGGTCTGGAACGCCAAGTCATTTATCGCTTTCTACCTAGGATTGCTTTACCACATCATCGCCACACCCACCACAAGCCCCAAATCATACGGAGCGGGCCAACTCACTCCATCACCCACACGCAAACCCGCCATACTGCCGTGCCTAGCAGGATCGAAGCAAAATGGCCGAACGAAAGGTCCTCACGAAATACTACCCGGCGGACTTCGATCCGTCGGAGCTGGTCCGCAAGCGCAAGCCTAAGGACAGCGGGCCGAAGATCCAGCCGGTGCGCCTGATGGCGCCGTTCTCGATGCGGTGCACGTCGTGCGGCGAGTTCATCGGCCGCGGGCGGAAGTTCAACGCGCGGAAAGAGACGCCACTCGACGAGAAGTACCTGGGGATCCAGATCGTGCGGCTGCACATCCGGTGCACGCGGTG